GAACAGTCGTAACCGTACCCGGAAGTACAAGAACCCGTATACACCTGCGATTGCAGTATTACGTGACTCGTAGACGATGTTGCGATACGATACGTCGCGATTCGATACGATGCGATGGTGTCCTACGAAGACGAAACAACAGCCAACTTCGATCACCGATTGGTTGCGATTTAGCTACAACTGAGGTTCGTCTCTGAAATGCGGCGGCAAGGAAAAAACCGTAGACGAAGCTTAATTCGAGATAAGCTTACCTCTATCCTTGTTTACACGCTGTTTAAGCGAGTTTTTCGTTTAACTTTCTTACGATGGAGCAAGGAGAAAAGAAAAATAAAATCGTTGCTTTTCTAGATCGTGGAAAACTCCTGGAGAGAATGTGGAAGATTTCTACAAGAATCGAGAGAATAAATCAAGAAGGTTTGTGGAGTTAAACAAATGTAATAATAGATGGTCAATATGAGCACTAATTAGTTCGATCAGAAAATTGAATCTATTAGTCAAGTATCTAAATACATTAAGCAATATCAACTGTGGCGTAATATTATGATCAAAGAAGAACTTAATTCAAAAATTCTTTTTCTTCATCGATGCTCTTTGCTTTTGTTCCATTAGAAAATCGTACTCGTGTTGCATTCATCTTTCATCTTTTTATTTAATTAATTAATAACCCGAATTTGTGACATTTAACTTATGTAGTCTTTTCGTTTTCTCATCCATCTCGTTCTTTCTTTGTTTCGTTACTTCCATCCAAGGTACGTCGACTTTTATACAACTGTTTTAGTAAAAAAATGTAACGCCACTAAGCAACGTTAGTAGAAATGATTTCGACCGTAATAAATTGCACGTAGATAATTGTCGACCGGAAAATATTACACGGTTACAGAATACGTATTCAAGTAAAAGAGCTGTAGAAAATAGGACGCGTTTATCCGTGTTTACATACACGGAAAGTAAACCTCCTTCGAGTGTAATTAGAAAATTCGCGGTTTCTCTAGCGTAGAATATTTTGACGTTTCGCGTAGCGTTTCGTTACTGAAAAATGTCTCCCTGTGCCCCGGCAAAGGGACACCTTTATCGCAGCTGAAATATAAAATTCCGTTACGTGTCGCGTGACCGAGTTGTTTGTGCATTCGGAAAAATATGCAAATTAAACTCGTTCCAGTCCCTTTCATCATATGAAAGTCAGTACGTTTTCGCATTTAAAAATGAGTCTCGTCGAAGAACGTAGGAAACTAATAGAAAATTGTTTCTTCAAATTGAGCCAAAATTTCTATCGGAAACAAGTGTCATCATCGTCATTGGATATTACAGATCAAGAAATGTTATATTTGAAAAAGATTTTAAAACGTGTTTGTTAACGTATAATGATCATCATTGACCTCAATTTTATGGTTGGTCTAAATAGTAATTATTTTGCGTTTATCGAATAACTAGTTGTCACGATTCGGGAAAAGAAATCGAACAAAGTGTTTGTTTCTGGAATTAGCCAATAGCACGATGGACGGAGGTAGAGGAAAAATAAAAGCGAGAAGGAATCAAACGGTTCGAATTTAATTGTATTTAAGCCGGTAGGAAATCTGTCGTTAACGCGATCGTAAAATATGAACGCAATTATCGATGTAACTGTTCTGTTAGTATACCCACAGAATTATAAAGTCGGGTATAGGTATCATATGTTACACACCCGGTGAACGATATTTATTGGCCGTTGTTGTGAAACGTTAATCTGAATTTCAGGTTTCATTTTCCGCTCCCTTTGTCCCTTCCTATACAAGTATTAACCCTCGTGGATCTATTTCAACTTAATAGATATTACGGCTGTACCAGTTATCTTGCTGGCAATAGTAATGGTAAGCCGGGAAATCATTCATTCAACGTTAACTAATTAATCACTGTTCGGGTATCATTTTCGCTGTTTCATCCGCGTTTCGATATTTCAACAGAGGTAGCGATAATACTCCGTTTCAACACTTTAAAACCATTAATCTATGAAATATGTATATCGAGATATTAATTCTAACTATGTTTTTTTGGACATCTTAATTATGTACAGGTGGGTCGTTTATGCTTGTAATAAAAAGTTTAAGAACATAATAGAGAGAATTAAATTCAGAATGTTAATCTACAAAATGGCAACAGTTACCCCTTTTCTTAACGTTCGTTGCTCGCGTGCCAATGCCTTTTATTTGCACAGTGGTATTTAAAGGGTAAGATGCGTAATATTGGATGTCGGATTGATCCGCAATTTTCCCGGGTAGAAGGCACGTCGCGCGGACAAGGGGTCGAGCGGCGCCACATGGGGACGGTAGCCTCGACTCGTAACTAACGATTCCCCGGTAGCCGAGTACGAAAATAAACTATTTATGAATCATTCCGAGAATATACATAATTCCCTGACTTCTCTCCCTCCTTCTTACCACGTCCATCTTCTCCCTTTTTAAACGCCCCCGCTTTCTCTCCTTAGTCGTTGTTTTCACGCTACAGGACCCGAGCTATCGCGGTTCAAAACTTTATTTCGGTTACCTCTTCTCCTCGTCCTTTTCTAAAGCGTGTGCTCTCTTAATTCCCGTAAAATGTGGCATAAATCTTTATCATCGCTTTCATTCTCCCCACCCTCTAGATTACGATCCACCGGGGCGGGAAAAAGTTTCAAAGAAAAAGAACGAACAATTTTGTTTTCTGTCGCGTCCGCGAATTCCGAGTAAACTTAGAGCATCTGATGAAATATTATGCCCGACACAGAAACGATTTTGCTCAGAAACCGTCCGTTGAAACAGTAGTTTCGTGGACGCGATGAGTCCACGTGTATGCGATATAAAATTGAAATCAACGTTAGAGGATATGTAGGATTCGTTTCGAAGCAGTCCTCATATTTTAATGACGAAAGGGCATTGAAATAACTTGTATCGCTAGCAGTTTATTAAGTCGTGCTTAACAACCTCGTTGACGGGTTTTGTTGAGCCTGTAAAGTTCATTCCACTGCGTTCCGCGTAACTCCCCTTCTTTGTATATTTTCTTCGTTCGTTCAAACAAATCTAGATTGGTTACCACGGTTAACATCGAATTTAAGGTAGGCGTTCACGACCTGGGGTAATTTATGTTCCGGAAAGCAGTGTTCGGGATCTGACGTTCATTAATTGCAGCGTGATTTATTGATAGCCAGGTTTGCTTTTATTAATCTTGTTAGAAACGAGCCTCGAAGGTGGCACCACTAATCAGATGAGCGCTTTACATTAAATTTCAAACAGCAACTATCGATTTCGGATGCGTTCATTGCTATTCAAAATGACTTATAAATTGCAAGCTCTTTATTTCTATAACAAAAATTTCAGAAGACTGTTGTTTGTTCATATCTTAGATAAATCACATGATTTTGTGAGAATTCTCAGACATTGAAATTCGATTATACGTGTGCATAATAACAGTAAAAATTGTGCTCTGTTTAATTGTCCACGACAATNTTAATATATTGATTGTTAAATGTATCTTAAAAATGAAGAACTTCACAGGGAGGAAATGTAAGAGTTGTTTGATCCTTTAATAATGAATTAGTTTTTGGTTTCTTATGCGATACTTCCGCTATTCAAATTTAAAAATTATTATTCATATTTGCTATTGCAACGGACGGTAAATGCTTGTACTCGTGCTTGTACGGGTATCATCGACTGATAAGCCGCCTCGAGCTAGAGCTTTTACCGTTTGGAGGAAAGCTTGCGATACTTCTTTCGTAACTGTTAATAGTCTAGATCTAGGACCAAGAGAACAATTCTCTTATGAGAAAACTACATAATTAAATGTATAAAATAGGGATCGTATATGAACAAAAACAATAAACATGTATAAAAATGTACGGAATACCAAACGCAAAGTGCATATGGCAATATTTAAGAGATAAAAGAAATTTTTATTTAAAACAGATTTTTTAAATTGATACCATTTATAGTTTATTTTGTATAAAAGTTCGCAATCCAATAATAAGAAACGTCATTTTTTAAATACCGAGTAATCTTATACATTTTTGTCATCGCAGCATTTATAAAATGACTTATGTTAGTCGTATGACTTGAACACGTTTATTCTATTGTTATGTAGTTACGTATGTATTGCGAAACGCGTTACCACATGACGAAATTACGTACACTATAAGGAACGCAGATGTCGAACGCTGTTGCTACATCTTGTACATCTCGCTGGCCCTACATATTCGCTTTCGTAACATCTACGCCACAAATAGAACTCCATTAGGAAACCACGAGTAGCGATGAGTACAGGGACTACGATTATATCGCGTATCGGCGTAAACTACGCGAATGTGACCTATACCACAGATGTTTGGCTTTCGTCGTAATTCACGGCTAGCGTTAATCCACAATTATCGTTTGCGGGCTAACGCTCCCCCGTTGCACGTGGGGAAACAAAATTTGCAACCACAGGGTAACGAACAGACTCCGTTTGAATTTCTTGAAATTCCTCTTTTATTAAGGAAAACTGTTCTAGACATATTCTTTATTCGAAACCAATCGGTTAATCTTCTCAGTCCACAAACAAAGGGTGTATGTAAGAGACACAGTAAGGGGCGATATTTCATTGAAAATCGGTAATGGACAAGTAAAGTGACTCCTGTGAAAGGAGCTGATGGTGAGAGTACAGATTGTTTACGGATTTACGAGAAATTTAAACAAACTTTCAGAACATTGTTCGATAAGAACCGAGGCGGGGAAGCGTTTAGTGGAGCAATGAGAGCGCGTGCGTGCGTCTCGGCCAATTTAACGCCCACGTAAACTCTCGCGAACGTGTGGATAGGACGTGCTCATCGACCAGGTGTCGATAATTTTTTCCTCGTTTTTTAGTGAAAAATTGGGATAGAGTCCTTTTTCATTGTTCATACCAAAAACGACTTTTGAATATCGCACCAGGAGAGAAAAACCCTTTCGTAACACGTATAAAGACAATGGCGTAGATTTTAAAAGGGAGATATTTTCTTTATTGAGTTAGTCTCTTAATTATACCATGTAGGTATATTTGAACAGTACTAATTGGGGGAGAATATTTATATTCATGGTATTTATCTCCAATTATAAAAAGTGTATGGAAAAGGGCCAACGGTAAATAACAAATATTTTAATTTATTCGTATCTTCATTTCTATTGACATGGTACAATACAGTGAAATATATGCATAATGCTTTAATCTCACGAAACCGCGAAGAGGGTTAAACTGTGCTTGCGAATAACGTAGCAGATCAGCGAACCTCAATGGTTCCATTCGCCCTTCTAAGCATCCGTGTACTCTACGTGTTGCATCTCGTTGTGCGGATTTCGATTCACCCTTGGCATCCCTTCAAAACTTCTTGCCTGGAAAAGGGTGTAATTGAGCTCGGCTAGCGGTGGCCAGTGGAACGTGTGCGAGCCCAGGGTACGACACGAACGAAACAAGAGATTCCTCGAGATTCCCGAGCGGCGCTTGCGCTCGCTTCGTCCAACTCGGTTGCGCTCGCGCACACACAATCGTACAACACTCTGCATACACGTACGCGTTTTACCTCTTGGTTACACACGTGTCCAGGCCTTCTTTGGCGTGTGCTTGACGCGGGTCGCACACAGAACTCCTGTACACGTCGTCGTTGAAAAACCCGAAACGGAGCCAAACGGCTGAGACCGTAGAGTTCGTATCTGGAACTGGAAAATTCGACTAATCGCGCGAACAAACGCGATCTCTTTTCAACCTTCTCTCTTACGTACGGGAAACGAAGAATTTGCGAGAGAGAGAGAACGAATATCGATGAAAAATGTTAAGAAAGGGGGAGTGGGTTTCGGAACGAAGTTGGGGTGGTACCTTAGATCGCGGTGGCACGATTTACGATGGTTTGGCGGGAACATATTTGGGTCAGCGTTTGTTATCGGCCGCACGAGCCCTCACGGCTTTTCCAGGACGCCGCGTTACGTAATCAACGATGACCGATCGTGTCCTGGGCTTCTGGCTGTAACACATAGAAAGAGGCAACCAGAGAAGTTGGTATCGCGCGGGGCAGAGAGCAAGGAAATCCATCTTGCGGTTGATTGTACGTGGTCCGTCAGCGAAAGTCTAACGAGACCGATCTCTTTTTTAGATAAGCTGCACGATTTTACTCCTTAATAAAAAATACCAAAGCATTATTGTTAATAAATTTAATTTTACACTCCATTTGGTATAATATAGAATGAATCAATAAGAACTACGTTTTAAATGAACGATTATTTATTATTACTTTTTAAAAGAAACTTTCGAAGCATTTGATACAAGATAATCTGCATTGAGCGGATATATTCCTGTACTTTATCGAATCAAAATTTATTTTCCGAGACATGAGTAAAAACAATACATAAAGGATAATAATAAACATATTCATTTGCACTGTATATTTCCAGTGCAACTCATATTCTTATAGATATTGCGTTTCTTAGAAAAATATAAATCCTTCGGTAGAACGTTACTTATACTTGTTCAATTTTTCAAACTAGTGCAATTATTCGTGCAGTTAGAGAATATTTGCAATTTTTGAATAAAAAATCAGGCTCGTTAGACTACGAACATTCTCGAGGATCTGTCGGTCCTCGCGAGGTGTTTCGAAATTCTTCGAGCAGCACTATATAGTACCAGTAGCAGAACGTTCGATAATAGGGGTGGTTCCACTTTTCGACTGGAAAGACGTCGGAACTTTCGAGGACGGTATAGCAACATGCATACGTATGTCCAATCTGTGGATACTAGTTTGTGTTCCGTACAAGCTTTGTGTACATTCTGTACTCGGGCCTTGCTCTATCATCGAGGACGAGCAAACGAACCTAGGTTTTGCCTCTGACACGTGCCTTAAGTGGATTAACATTTATCGGTTTACCAAAAAAAGATTTATACGTATGCAGAAATGGAATGTTCTTCATTCAACGTCTTCATCAGATTTCCCGTTTTGCTTCTTGATTTACATTCGATTATTTCAATCTACAGATATACTGGTAAGATATGAAGCATGATTCGTTTTTATGCTATAAATAAGATTAAAATCTCATTTATTTTTGGAGAAACGAATTTCATAATAAAATCCGACTCTCTAGTGGTCGATACTAAAAAGTATAAATGCTAATAGTGACCAATCCATGATTGATAAAAAAAAGGATTGTTCTTCTGAACAGCTGATTTATTTGAAATTTTAATGGAAAAAGGTAAAGAAGAGAGAACCTAAATCTAAAATTTGTATTTCATATACGGACGTGAGTTATAGTACAAAGATGACTTTGGAAAAAGTATTCAATATTTATTAATTTGTTAATGAATAATAAAATTTAAGATCTAGGGTTCATACCTTCTCAAAACAAGTCGTTAATCGACAACATAGGTAATTCGGAGGAATATTAAAAAATTAAACGAAAGCTTTAAGTGGATTTGAATTTACTTCGGAGTTCGTATCGAATCGCGTTGACCTCGAGCGAATGTCATTTCTTATTGCACTCTCCTAATGAATCGGAACGCAGGGGCCAGTAATTATATCGAGCAAGGCAGAGAGTGATACACTTAACCGTAATAATTCCTCGTATTCCGGAGGTCGTGATTATCCGCTCGTTATTTCCCGATAAGGGTGCTTTCCTCGCGCGTGCGGATCTCGACGTAATATTTGAAGACAGTTCTTTCCCTCTACTCTTCCTCGTCTTTCTGTTCTCCCTGGAATGGCAACGCGTCACACTAAATCAGATACGATAATTTTGCGCTTTATGCTAATGCACCAGGCACGGAGGCACGCTGATGAGCAATGTCTCTATAAAGGTACGTATCCACTTGTAGCAATAAACCAAGAACTGAGCGTTTCATGTCATTGTGCATCATCATTACGTATCACTGTGGTTTCAAATCTAAATGTGATTCGCTGGTAGACAATAAACTGTTCATCGATTATTCCCCAGTTTTTCATTGTTACGTGAAATACTGTTATAATTCCATAATGATACACAATGATTACGTAACGAAACCAAATATTTGCTCGTCGGTTTCTTATATCAAAGAGCAATGAAACGCTTACCCTTTCACGTAATGATATGTAACGATGATTTAATACGAAAATATGCTACAAGTATACGCACCTTAAGCTGACCTCAATCGATGTTATAATATTAGAGTCAATGTATTTCTGTATCTCGCTGTCCGCCTTGATAGCAATCGTTTAGGTTTAGGCTCTTACCCCGTTGAATTAGAAAATTGGATACGTTTCTCCCTTTAGTTATAATCGTTCCCGATCTGAAACATTTTTCAAATTAATGAAAAGATTATTTCAATCTCGTTAATTATTAACATGATTACTAATGATTAACGAAACGGAGAACGATATCTTGACGTTTAGAATTTGATTTTTTTAGGTACGTTTGATATCATTATGCATTTATAGAAAAATTAAACGTGCAGCAAATATAAAGAATAAACGTATTGTACAAAAATACATAAAATATTAAAAGTTGAACGTATATTACAAGGCTTATACGTGAAAGAAATTTCTATGTAAATCTCATTTTTAAACTGATCTTATAAATGCTTTATTTTGCATAGAAATCTGCAGTCTAGATATCATCAATGAGATAACCAAGGCGTCACAAAAAATATAGTTAAAACTTAAATGGAGGTGGATCTCGTTTAAAAATAGTGGGTCGCGGTTTTTTTTTTTTTTTATTTGGAAATTTCTCTTCTTACGTGCCGCCGGCAGTCTTAATGCGAAAGCGGAAGCCACGGCAAGGTGGAACGAGGCAGAATCTCGAATTTCTCTGATTCCGCTGTTGCTCGTCATTCGCTAATAACCATAACGACCGCCTTCGCAAAAGGTAACGAACCAACTGTTAAGGGGAACACCAGTCAAAGAGCTTTGCACGTTATAATGCACGTGCCTTGGAACAAGCCGTGGCTGCGTGTAGAGATTGTATTTTCTTTTCGATTTTATTTCTCTTTTTCATTCCAACGCGTAGTGAAAGAAGTCAAGAGTCACGAATATAATTTCGTATACATATATGATTTCGCATACATACATTCCACGAGTGTGTTACGTTGATTACAAGCATTGCGTTAGGCTGCCTATTGTCGTTGTTAGGGAAAGTGAATTAGATGTGTCAACCCTGTTAAAGCAAGACTCGCAATATGGCTATCGTTACATAGTAATTTCGTGGTGAAAGACAGCTTGATTATTATTCTTCTAGCAAAATCTCACGTCCGATTTAATTTTCCAGTAATTTTATTAACGACGATTATAAAACATATGACGAACGAACACATGAAAGAATTTCGAATTTTGTTTACTTTTCAGCTTACAGAGTCGAATCGTGAGTTCTTAAGATATTGTTCAGTGTTTCGACGTTGTATATCACTTTACGAATGAAGGTTGAACACTATTCCCTTTAGTATTAATGATTACTATTTTGCGGATTTTTATAGAAAATAATGTTTGTTCGAAAGGTTTCGATGTATAAAAATACTTTTTGTCGATGGAATCATTGACGACTTTGGGCTAACCCGTTTAGAGAGTGTACAGAACTCTTTCGCGAAAGGAGAAATCCTAGTTCAGTCTTAGTTCAACCCTCTTCGACCTATAAACGTTCAACGCGAATGGATTACACCGCTTGGATTAGCGTTCCTTCGAAATTCCAAGAAGCGAGTTTGATTCATGACACAGCTTAATAATCTTCATGGCAATAGTAATTTCTCGATAACCTCTTTATCAATTAATCCCACTTATTGGATTCGGAGCGATTAGGAGTGAAGAGTCCAGTAAATGACCGATCAGTCATCGATAACTTTTCGTCAGGATTGCGAACCGATTTATGGCGAATCATCGAACGAGAAGACCTGCGAACTGTGGTCCGAGCGACACCCGGTATATGCGGATTTGTAGTGTAGAGTTGTAGAGTCCGAGTCTCGGATATCGAGCGGGAGTCCCGGCGAGGGTTGCGCGGGCGCCGACCAACACAGAGGGATCGCGTGCGTACATTAAAGTGGTGGTTTACACGTGCGCAGGCTCCCACCGCCACGACCTGCCACCTCCAGCGGTTTGCGAGGTTGGGGATGAATTTCGAGGGAAACAAAGATGAAAATATGAGAGCAGCGATGAGAACGAACGAAACACTGGAAGTGGTGGCGGAGGAAGGAGGGTGTGGACACGGATTGAAGAGAAAGGGGCGAGGAGCTGGACGGTAGCGACGACAGAGACAGAGGGAAGTGAAAGAGGAGCGCAAAGCGGTTGAAAGGAGAGGGCTAATGTCGCGGAAGGGACGGAGACGAGGTAGAGTATAGGACGAAGAACGAGATAGAAGATCCCGAGTGTGCTGTTTTAAAGAAAAGAGAAACATGGAGAGAAGAGATGGAATGAAGCGCGGAGTGGGGTGGAGTCGCGAGTAAGATGGACGACGTCCAATGTCGATGAAGCAGATAGAAGAGGAAGATGCGCGAAGGGACGAAATTGAAGTGAGATAGCGATCGTACATCGTGGGACAGTGTAGGGAAGAGAGCGATGGGAATGTGAGAGATAGAAGAAGAATGCACGGGGGGATGAAACTAGAGCGAAATGGAAACGGTGTGGAGGGCGAAAGAGACAGCTATGAGCAGCGTTGCTATATCTAGTGAATTTCTCCTCTTCCCGTTCTGTTCCCGCTACTGTATGCTCTCCCCACTTATTAGAAAATTGAGATTGTGATCGCACAATTCACCGACAGCAGACGACACGGACACGTGACACGTGACACGATACGCATGTCCATGGGTAGACGTAAGTGTGGAGAACATACTGAGCATTCAGTAGTGGGGACAGAACAGGAAGAGGAGAAATCTCTCGATATAGCAACGCTGCCGTGCTGAAAAGAGAAGATGCCAGAGGAGGTGAGAGAGAGGTAAAGAGAAGAGGGCTGCCGAGAGAGACGAACGGAACGGAACAGGGTTGTTCCAGTGTGCAGCGGGCGGGCATCGCGGCGGGGGCGCCGTTCTGCTGCTCCTGTATATCCATCCAGGGTTATATGTACCATCCACCGCATCCTAGCGACCACGACGGCGAGGACGACGACGACGAGGACGAGGACGGCGACGACGACGACGACGACGACAGCGACGACGACGACGACAACGACGACGACGACGAGAACAGTGACGACTACGACGGTGCCGGAAAGCAGAAAGAGAAGGAGGAACAGGATATCCGGCAAAATCGTTCGGGTCGAAGAGTGTCAGAGAAGTGTGAGACTCTTCACGTCGTAAACGACATTATCGAATAGTTTCGTGTATTGGTAGTTGATCGTAGTTACGTGGGCGGTTGTTCTGTTTTTTCGTTGACACGCCTGTCGTGAAAAGGTGATCGAGTGACATCGTTTTTCCGATACAGACGAGAAAAGGAAAAAGAAGGGAATAAGAAACATATCGAAGACAGGAAAACAGAGACTGCGCGAGGATACAGCGAAGACATTTGCGCGGAGAAAGAAAAGGAAAGATAAAGGGGTGAAAGAGATCGGAGACGCGAAGAAAGACTGTCGTGTAGTAATTAAAGTGACGGTGAAGAGAAAAGCGTACGTAATAAGAAAAGAAAGGGCGGAGAAAGCAAAAAAGTGAAAGGTAGGTCCACTCGTCGGAGGGAGCCATCGAAGGTGGAGGAGCATGCGAGAGCAGCTCCTCGGTGTTTCAACATGACCCAGCCTTAGTAGGGTACCTCTGCTGGCGTACACCCTCCGCGCCGCGACACGATACGACACGCAGAAGGCGGCGGCGGAGGTGGTGCTGGCGGAGGAGGAGGAGGCGGTGGTGGTGGAGGCGAGGACGACGGAGGGAAGAAAGAGAAGAGAAGTGGTGGAGGACGAGGGGTCGGAAGAGGAGGACGTGGACGGGGAGGAAGAAGAAGACGAAGGAAGAGAAGAAGGAGGAGGACGGAGGAGCCGCTAACGACGGCGAACGTCCTCAAGGGTGCGAGATACCAGCACCAGCACCAGCAACACCATCGACGACGATGATCGTGACAGGCGGCGAACGGCGTACATGTTGGAGGAGGAGGAGACGGTTCGCAGTTGCACTTGCCTCGGCCCTACTGGCCCTCGCGATCGGTCCGATGTCGACCAAGGGTCACAGGCCGGTGCCGGACAATCCGATCATTCTACAGACGAGCACCAGCACGACAGCTACGCCCTTCTATGCGGTGCAACACTCGGCGAACGATACCGTTCGTATAGCCGACGATGACAACAACGACCAGAAGGCGTACGATGGATACAACAGCACGCTTCATCACCACCATCATCAGATGGTCGGTAGTAACATGAGCGAGGAAAAAGCGCCTCTTTTCCCCGTAGATATATTTAGTATCCAGCAAAGGCGTCACGGTGCCGTGATACTTCACGTGATAGGTGTCGTGTATATGTTTGTCGCGTTGGCAATCGTCTGCGACGAGTTCTTCGTCCCGTCGTTGGACGTGATCATCGAGAAACTAGAGATCGCGGACGACGTCGCGGGTGCCACGTTCATGGCTGCCGGCGGTTCGGCACCGGAACTGTTCACATCGATAATCGGCGTGTTCGTATCGTTCGATGACGTCGGAATCGGCACCATCGTCGGCTCGGCGGTGTTCAATATTCTTTTCGTGATCGGCACGTGCGCCATATTCTCGCGTACAGTGCTCAGCCTCACATGGTGGCCTCTTTTCCGCGACTGCAGCTTTTATAGCATCAGTTTGCTCACCCTGATCTATTTCTTCCGCGATAATTATATTTATTGGTACGAAGCGCTCGTGCTTTTCTGTTTCTACTTGGCGTACGTGAGTTTTATGAAATGGAACCAACCGATGGAGAAGCTCGTCAAGAGACTGATCTCTAGAAACAAGGTGACCCGGGTTAGGTCCACCGATCAACTGATGCCCTCGGTACGTACGCAGTGTCTACTGTTCCGTAAGCTTATGTTAAAACACGGTACGCACACGTCAAACTAGATTAATGCGTGATTCTTCTCCCGACCTGGAATCCAGTCACGTCTTCGTGTGTCACGAGTTTTCCCTCTTTCACGTACTCGCGCCAGGATCGATCTCGGCCCTACGACCCGCGTTCTCCATCGCCGTTTAATCGCGTTACTCGCTCATACTCCCTTTGGTTTCGTATCCTTATAGGATAGATATCCCGTCGCGTGACTACTTACATACCCGACTACTTCGCCTACTCGCACGGCTACTCGTACGTGGTGTTTTGTCTCGATGACGGACATGGTCAAACTCATTTTCTTATCGATTTTTACCACTTTTCCCACTTCTTCCTCTTCGTCTCGCGCGAAAAATTAGGCACCGAGGTCACAACATTGTTTACGATCATCAGATTTTCTATACTTCGCTGTATTCACGCTTTCTTCCGTTCCGGATTATCCGAAATTGTGCGATCGCTTTTAATCGGACAACCTTCACTCTGTATTCCTGTTAATACAATGGGATCTGAAAAGAGACCGTTTTATTACTTGCTTGAATATCAGCTGATGCGATCGTTCTATCGATTTTTCTTCTACGATGCATCCCTCTGGTAGTTCTCAATACTGACGGGAAAAAAAGCCTCATTCTGAATGTAAACCAGGTGAAAGCAGGATTTTCATTGCAACAAAACCCTCCGCTTCGGATCATTGCGCGCTTTTGACGCGATTCACACTTCGCGCAAGGTCGATCTCGACGAATAAATTGAGTTCATTACGCGCTTTGTATCCAACAGCGCGTTTTTCATATAAATTCTGTCGTATTTTAATTAGAAAAGTTGGATGAAGTTGCTGGAATCATTCTCCCTTGTTATCTATTGTACTTTTTTTAGAAACTATTGTTTCTATTTCTCATGCACAGGGTGAGTCGATAAAAATAGATTTCTGAAATAAATCATTAATGGCAATCAGTTAAAAAAGTGCGTTTTAGATAGATATTTGTTTTACCATGTACTTAAGTGTTAAGAACTACTAATATCAATTCATTTTTGACATTCTGTATATTTTCATGTATCACTTCTATTTTTCACGTTTTCCGATGCATAAAATAGTCATCTGAAATAATCGAGTATTCGTATTTATGGGACTCTTTTATTTTGTATTAATGCAAATTAATGATACTTGCATTTTAACAAATCGCAATTGCAATTCATTTAGACACTCAAAGCTTTCTAATGGAATTAGTAAATATTGTAATTCTAGATAACAAATTTTATTGATTCGCCTTGTATATCAGTTTTGTGATTTAGAATGGAAAATAGTCGACGAAACTGAGGAGCATAATCTGATTTTCTTTGTATATCGTAACTCTTTCTGGTATGCTCCACGTGTACAAAAAGGTTTGCAATATATACCGTGAAACGCAACCGTGAATAGATAAATCAATTGTAACAATCGAACTTTTTCATGACCGGTTATGCAATTTATTTCTTTTGCTTTGTCGAACAAAAAATGGATCGATCCTGATGGGAAATTAAGTAAAATTGATTATCGACAGTATTTCTCTACGCCTCGAATTCGGAAGCAGTGTCTCGTGGTGGATAAACGTATCGAAGCGTTTTTCGATTCTTTCCTTGAAACCAAATCGCTTGTATGTAGTTACGAACATCTTGCATTGACGGTCGCATTCTCGAGCTCGTGTTTTATTACCGTCGTAAAAATGCTCATCGCCTTCTCTTGATACGGAATAAAAAATATGATAGAACGATCACAATCAGGAATAAAAGTCCTCACGAACATTGATGTCGTTGGTTAGTTGACTTTTGCGGATCGAATGCGAATCTTCGTTATTACTACTTTTTCGTGAGCTAATTCCAAATAATACACGTTAAACTTAAACATTCATTTTTGCGATTTTAAAATCGTTATGAGTACGGTTTAACTTTTGTAAAAATTATTAAAAATGTTGAAATTAATGCCGTATCGATCCAATCCAATCGATCAATCCAATACTCAGTATTTGAATACGTTACGTGACTAAATGACATAAATCTTATAAAGTGATTTTTTAAAACTAATACAATGAGAGATTAATAGAATCGTTCGTACTAAAGGACAATGACGTATATAATGGATAAACGTTATATAACATAGTGAATCCATAATTTCAATCCCCCGCTCCTCATAGCATATGGATTGTAAAAATTTCGATGCAACGCGTATACGACCGCGCTTATTGCATTATTGAGATTGTCGCCCGACAAATGGGTGAAGCTATCGCTATTACATAAGCGAGCGATTCACTGTCGTGAGACAAAGCCATAAACTCTTGGCTCGTTTAAAAAAGAAGCAGAATAGTTAGTCACGATTCGCGATGCAAGTTTGAATCATCCCGGCCAATTATTGTGTTTCGCATCTGGTTTTGGACCATGCTTCGCCAAGAGTTCTCTCGGTTAAATCGCCTCCCCGTTAATATTGTTGGAACACCGAAACGCAGCTGTCAATCAGTCGCAACGTCGAGGGTGTGAAATATAATTCTCTTATTGACACTGATTAGTGATCGCTGAAAACGGAAGCCCGACACGCTAATGACTGCATAATTGTGTACGGATAGAACCCACCGCGTCAATCGGCGTTTATGCTACCCTCCCACTTATCATTATCGATGAGTAGATTTAGTTCGACTACTGCGTTTATCGTATTTTTTTTTTTTATTTCGATAACTACAGTCGATGAGAACTGTGCTTGTTTATAGATAAATGCAAACAGTTAAGCTCATATTATAGCTGACAAATTTTATGATGGTTGCAATGTTAGCAATAACTATAACTTGCGTAGAAATACAATCGCGATGTTGTGACGTAAAATAGAAGTCGGAACGAACCGTAAACCATGAATTGGAGATTTTATCTTCACACGATAATAAATAACGTTTATACTAAATGCGGATATTGGCTAATGAGAAAACTGAGTTACAAGGAAGGGACGTTCGGGATAATTTGTGAATGATGTACCATCAGAAATAACATTCTGGAGTATCGTTGTTCAAACATCCAATACGTTACCATCTGTATGTAAGCCATTACGGAGCAATGTACAATTTTTCATCAATATCGTACCTCTCGAGAGACACGCGAATTTATTTAGACAACGTACCATGTACGCATTTCAATTAAATATGGAACTAGAATTTAACCCGCGAATCGCAGAGAAGGAAAACAATAAGTAATAGGGAGATTAATCCTTCCATTATTAAGAACGAAATATCTCGCATTTCAATTTCTCTCCCATTCTATTATGGATGAAATACTACATTATGTACTTCATCTGGAAATTAAAAATGAAAAATCCGTTCTTATGACAGTTTATTAAATAAAATAATCGAATATGATCGAATAAATATCCTCGCGAAACATTTCTATAAATGTCAAAAACATTTGATAAATTCGTCGTTAAAATAAAAAGAGAAACGATTGAACTGCATGGAGCCTTTGACCGGACGTTTTTGACTGCTCTCATCATCTCTTCCTTCTGTTTTATATATTCCTATTCTTTCCCGTGACCGTCTGCCCTCCTCGTGAAATCTTTTTTCCTCGGGCAAGTTACGGCATTGCAGTGTGCAAAGGCCCTCCACCCATCGTCGAATCGATTCGACAGAGGCCCTTCCACGTTTAACCTCGCCGTCTCAGCGATATATAGTGACTGCAAAAAGTTATTTGTAGGTGTATCAGTCTGTGTGTACGTTTGTTCTATCTTTTACGCTACGATTAACCCTTTGTCGAGTCTAATGGAAATTACGCATCGTGCTCAGGAACGAGTTGTTTTTATGCTTTGTCACATGTTTTCTCCGTGACACGAAATATAAGTGAAATCAGAATTGAAATCACAATTAAATGCAATTACACTTTATTCTAGTTGGAGTGGCGTTTCGTGCCAAGATATGTATGTAATACTTGTAAAATATGTAATCTGTTTTTCATCAGACACTAACTAAAAAGTGGTGCGAATATAAATTGAGAAATAAACATTATTAGAAAAGTGTGCATTTGCACTATTTCTTTTTGCAGTCTCTGTATAATCATTTCCAAGAGTGTATTTCAAGAATGCCGACGAACCGGGGGAAGCTAATAATATAACTGACCGATGGTCTCGCCCGTGGACGCTCTCATTTACACGATGAAAACATTCAAGATTTTTAATAAATGTTGACAGACTTAATTTCTAATTTTTTCATTCGAGTTACGAATTGAATGTTTCAATAAATTAATTTTTTCGGTACTATCTGTAAAAAAAATAATAAGTATCGACAATGGAACTATAGGTAGGGTTTCTACGATGGTACGAAGCTTACTCGTAAAAGTAGATTTACAAGTTTTTTTTTAAATTTAAGAAACTTTTGTCTGAATCGTTGAATTATAGTTAAGGCAGGCTTTGTATACAGAGTCGGCGTATACAATGTGTAACTGTGTAGAAGAATTGTGATTCCCGGGCACAAAGGAAATAGAAGTAGCGGAAGTATTTTCTCGAGATAAATGAGTTTGAAATCAATTGCACTCGCGTGCTCTTGACGTTACATTACGTAGCTCTCATTACTCGTTTCGCGTTTCTTTACTCATTAATTTATTTTCGTTACTATTAGCGTGAATAATCTGTTTCCATCGAAGGGAAGTTCGTTCTAGAGACGAAGTAAAAAGGACTCATGTTGTACAGGATTAACCGTAACTTCTAATTAGATTTTCTACAAAATTAACGCGGTTTGATTAAGGGCTCGTTTCATTTTTTATGATCTGTATAATTAACTGTTCGTAATTAGAGAAACAATTTCTCCCATGGCGATGTTTTACTCCATTGGAATTTTGCTGATTAAAATTCAGTCATTAAACACTGATTTTTTTATTTAATAACGGAATTTTCATATATGTATATTAATTGACCTTCCGTCATATGAAATTTCATCATAATTAAAATATTGTTAACGAAAGAATTAACAGAATCGTGGTAAACGGAGCTTAGTTGTATCGTTAAACGAATGTTTCGAGAAAACGGAGACAAGAAAATGAGAGGAAAATTGTTCGCAATCCAACGTCGTCGCCTGGTTTTCTCTGGATAAAAAAAGAGTATTTTTGTCTGCTAACGATAATGCGCGGCCGAGATTCTTTTGTTGAAATATCGATTCGCGAGCTCGGAAATTCGTCCTGTTACCTTGACCAATGACATTTCCGCGCGCGTTTTCAGAAAAAGGTATGCATTTTGCACCGCGCGTCGCGCACCGTTACCCCCCATTTACGAAACAAAAAGAAGAAACAAATCCATGAATGCACACACGACAATCGATCGAGAAACAAGCGGAGCCTATAATAATAATCATTGACTCGGGAAATTCTTGTCTTTTCACAAGAGAAAGCAGGTCGAAGAGAAAACAGAGAAAGACAAATATTCGTGCGCCTCTCTTTTTCGGAGAAAAACGAATGGATTTGTTCTCGATCCCCTGACGATTCTCGGAACGTCAAAGGTCGAGCGAAATGGAAATCGCGAATCATTGCGTATGAATTCGATCGCGTCGTAGCTCACAGGCGCGATTCGATCAAGCACTCTTTTGACTTATCGTATCGATTCGAATAGGACGAAATGTTACGATCGGTCAAATCTATTTTGGGACGATGAAAAAATCCGGGTCAAGCATCCCAGCGTTTATTAGTCTCTCGGTTCGTCGAGTTTTGATGAAATGATCACGGTAATTAATATCGGGTTAGTCAAGGAATAACGTCAAATTTCTATTGCGCATGGTGATGTTTCGAATACTTATAAATAGATTGTAATTCAGATTGAATCATGCTGTTCTTGTTTACTTCGTATAAAGTGAATAGTGTAAATTTGCCTCGAATAGGAAAGTTCGAATGTCAGCAAATGTTTTAAATAGAGGAAACCGGTGCGACTCGATACGCATTTCCATTTCCAGACGAACAATCGAATACGCAGTTTGATCCTGATGTACCCGCGCAAAGTCTGCAACTTTTCCTAATTAAATTCTCGCGCATTGTCATAGTCGGGTTTCGCTATGGGCGTGCACACACCCACGCGATGGAGGTTGCGCGCGCGCATGCTTTTGTGTTTTCCAGGCCAGACCGGACGTAACTAAATAACTTGGGCTCGTGCAAAAATGATCGATTCCGTGGGCAACGTCGAATCTGGCTAATATACGTCCCGCATATTTCACAGCCCGGGTATCCTCGACGAGGAAACGCGCAATTACGGGATTCTCCATTCTCGTTAAGAGGCGGAAGAAGCACGAAAACTTGGAGCAGCGTTGAAACTTCAGCTCAAAGCGAAAACCTTCTCGCCTTGGATACCAGTTAATAATCTAATCTGCTCGCCAGAACGTTTAGCTCTTGGAACATTTCTCGCCATTTCTCTACGCTTTCGTACCATTTTTGATAGACCGAATTGGTTCCTGGTTTCTCTTCCATTTGCAGGACTGTATCGAATTACTCAACTGTACTTACATATTAGTTAAAGTAATCTATCTTCCTATCGATAATTCTAGCTCGAAGTTTATTGGTTTATCGGTTATCAGTTATCAAGAACGTCTTCATTAAATTCGATATTGATCCACTGAACAGCGTTGGTTTTACCTAAATCGTTTGTAGTTTTCTTTCGCCCGTTATCCTAATTTTCATTTCCTCCTCTAGAAAGATGTCGCATCCGTCCTTACGTTAGTAACAGGGTAGGATCTCCGTTAGCAATACGACGGGTACTTAAGTAAATGAAATGCTTCCCTTACCGAATTTGATTGGATCCTTTACCTATAAGCAATCCACGTGTTTGCGTTCGCTAACGTCCCCGTTCAGAGACAGTTTATCCAACTTTGATAGGAATCGGGATACGTTATAGCAACTTTTTCTTTACATGTCAAAGATGAAGGATGGATCCAGCCGTGCGAGATAGGTTGTGGTTCGAATTACAGCAAATACACTGATTTTATGCCAATGAGGTCACATTTATTAAAATATTATCGATCAATTAAATTGTACCTCATACTTAGCATAGATTTAAGCACTGGCCGTTTCTCTCGACTAGATTTGGGCATGGAACAAATAAACGAAATTGTATAGTTCTCATAATACTGAGTCGTTTCAATAACATATCAACGAATGATTAACAAATCACCGAAACTATTATTTCGGATCTTTATTGTTCGTTATTGGAATATGCATGTGTAATTTGCCCGAACTCTTGACGAGAGCCTACCTACTCCCTACGCTTTGTCCTCTGCAAGCTTGTGAGATATGTCGTGAGAGGAGAACGAATTGAACAAATCGCATCGCATTTCGGGAAACGATAGAGATGCCACGGCATGCCATCGTGCCGCCCCGCGCGGCGTTGTATCGATCGAAGGTCGCAATTATTTGCACGACTGAAACTTTCATGTAAGTTTCAAGGATTTTGCTTATCTCGCCGGCTAGTCTTTTTTCCCTGTTATTCTTCACTTTTACTTATTTCCACCACTTCGTTCTCTTCTCTTTCTGTTCCCTCTTGTCCGCTAATTGAGTCGCGACCTTCGACCGACCTCACGACGCCTCATACTCTTTCTTCTCCTCGACGCGTGAAGACGAACGCATTTGCACGACTCGGTTTCGCTGTTTTGTCACAAAATTGAGGACACAAAGTGAACGAGAACGTAGAAATGACGAAGTCTTTTACGGTCAGAATTAATTTTTTCAAGGTTTTATTCGACAAGATCGCTATTATTTAACTGATTTGCATCCCGAATCTAATTGTGTGTCCTGACCGTCGTGAGAATAAATAAAAAGTACAATTGAATTTTCAATGAATCTCGCGAATTATTCCGCGGTTGGTTCTATCGACCAGTCAATGCAATGAATATTCCGTTCAAAGATGCAAATGGGTTAATCGAAAGCAATTTTTCACTGTTCACTTTGTACTTGAATTTTGTCATGTATCATCCGAAACGAGTCCACGAATTCGTCCTGATCTCTGTGCACAATTCGATGTCAACTGCTTATCGCGAGCACTGCATTGTCAACTCTTTCTGCGTGTGCGTGTGTGTGTCCCGCTTTTCGCGAGATCATCACGAATCATCGATGAAGCGATTAAAAACATATATACATACATACATACATGCATACATACATATTTGTTTTTGTCGTTACTGTGATTGTAACTGGGTGTTTCTTGCTTGCAGCACCAGAGCGCCGCCCAGGCATTGGTGAGTTGCATGTCTCTATCTCTTTTTTCTTTCTCTTTATCTTTACTTATAACTTGCACCTCACAGCTGGAATTTGTTAATCCCATTGTTGTCAAACTGAGGCATATTATAGAATTTATTAAAGAAACAAACGTGTAAATGTGAATGTACTATGTAAATATTGCAGATACTTCTCGATCAATTTTGATAATTTTTATATTTTTTTTCATGATTTAGCAAGTATAGAACAATTGTGCCACTTTCCCTAATTCGTGTAACACTATATTTTACAAATACTTTACGAGATTAATGAATGTCGATCTTTAAGAAATAAAGAGCACTTGAGCATTATTCTTCTTGTTGATAAAGATTAATAAAAGGCTGTCAATTAACAAAACAGTTTCAAGAAGAAATTGGGGTATCAGTATCTATACATTTAACGTTATTAACCCTTTCCTTACCAGATACACATCCGCGAGTAAGCTTTCTCTGTACCAGAGATTGCACCGCAGGTTTCCACGTTACAGATAGAATTATATGCATCTATAGTTCATTGATACCGAATATAGCCGGCACTGGTATTAAAAGGGTTAAATAAGAAGTACTTTGAAGAAAAAGAAATTGGGTTTAATGCATTCTGGCTTTGGGATATGGATACTACTATTCGTGTGTTTCTATCTTTCCTATGTACGCGTTTCTCATTCATGATCGTTGACAAACTTTCTTACACCGTCACGTCGCATCGGTCACTAAACTTACGTACGCTACTACTCAGGAACTATTTTTCTTTGTTCGAAACAAGGAGAGTAAGTAGGTATTGTAGAAACATATTCCTCTTAGAACACTTCGAGCAGCCGATAGGCGTTCTCGCGATGCATGATTCTCTCTCTCTCTCTCTCTCTCTCTCTCTCTCTTCTCTGTTTGTGTCTCGTACTTTATTTTGCCACGTCGTCATGTGCTCCGATCGATGTATTTATTCATGACAGCATCAAAACTTGAACTGGGTGTTACAAAAGTCCTGTGTTCTTCGTATTTCCTAGACTCTAGACATATTCATGGATGGATCAGGGATACATTCCCTGCAAAAGTGTATAAAATATAATTCATGCTCTCGCCGCTATTGTAAGAGTTTTCAGTGAAAATCAGAAATAACATGTCATTACTAAACTGCAGACTTTTATGCAAAATGAAAATCATTTGATAGCTTTAACAGTTTTATTCGTATTTCTTCCTGACAATGGGCGACATGAAACTTTTAACACTCATGCGCGGATTTTACGCATGTCGATAAAATACAAAGGATACATGCAACATGCAAAAATTTGCAGAACATCAAAAGTATGATACATCATTATCTTTGAAGCGTAAAACAAGTTCCAAACTGGAGTTAATTCTCTAAACTAGTAACAAAGTTTTATTTTGCATGAAGGTCTGCAGTTTACTCATTAGTCTTTCCAATAAAGGAAACTACTCGATGCACGATTTTCAACGGTTCAAACATTTTTAAACATTATTTGTCTGATACACTTTTCTTGTTGGAACGGAAGATCGTGGAGAGGTGAGATAAAGGAATTTAAGCGTACGAGGCACAGAGAAGAAGTTCTTATCCTGATGGAAATTTCGTTTACGCGACCTCGTTGTTACCTCTTCGGACTTTAGCTGCTATGCCAGTTTCTGATCTACCTCTCTTTCATGAAGGACCCTCGCTCGATTCGGGATGCAGTTCCGCGCACACGAGAAGTGGCAACCGCAACAAAAAGAACCGTTTATCCACGCCCTCAACCCCGTTCCATCATAATAGATACATACGTAGACACGTACACGTTCATCCGCGTTCATACCTCTTCACATATGTATGTACATATGTGTAAATTCTGTCATGTTACAAAATAAACGGTAGAAGTAGAGAAAGTGAAAATATAATTGCTCTAATTACGAAAACGTTTTGGAAAAGCTTCTTCCCTATCGGACGATCGAAGTTTGTTCCTGCAGTAAAGCAAAAAGCAATTACAGTAGCTCGATAAATAAATTTACTTTCAATATCAATAAGAGATATATCAGGGAAGAATTTCTTCTTTCTGTGAAAAGAGATTTGTGTAAAGCATGTCCATATTGATTTATTATTAATTATAGTAATTGAACGGAGATAAATAAATCTTTCCTAGAAGACAAGGATTGCCGCATAAGATTTGCAGTCGAACTTGTTGTCCTTTGTCGCATATTCTGTATGAGAAAAGTTGCTACTTTCTATAATAACAGGAACTAGGTCAGGAGTAAAACTTGTGTAATTGCGGGTCTACCGGTTCCGATGGCCGATTCTGAGTCAGAGATGTTCTCGAAGAACAGAAGAGATGGAGATAGAAGTCTACATCATACCTAGTTTCTCAAACCAAACTGCTCGGAGTAAATTCTTCTCCCACCTCTTGAATAGTTTTCTATCAAATTTAATTAACGCCTACGACTCATCAAGTTACGCCTCATTATCACAAGCCTCGAAGGAATTATCTCGAGATGTCTAAAAATCATTTCCATCAATGCCATTTAGTCTTACAATGTTGTATCATATATGAATAAACTCTTAAAGAAAAGATTATTACAAATAAATGGCGTTAAAGAATGTTAACCATGAATAAAACGTGCTGTAGTGTTTTTCAAATATTCCCGAAGGGAAAATATTGTCAATTCAAAATAATCCAGGTTGAAAAAACGCGACTCGGTTCCCATCGAAATATGTATTTGCATATTATTCATTCCAAACGCTCTTCGAAACTTCGTTTCGAATCGTTGAAACGACCGCGTCAAAGAGACCTGTTTCTGACTTATCTACTCTCGAAGAGAGACGGTGAAAATTTTCTCGTCCCTAGAGTTCAATTCACCGATCTATTTCCACATTTTTTTTCTTTTACCTCAGCCAATCGTTCTTAAGAGTTCTGACTTTAGTTCGATTAAAAATTATCGACTTATTATCTCCGCTTTATGGAGATCTAAACGTTCTATACTTGGCAAACTCCGTTTAACATGCGAACCGTAATATGATAATTTCGAACCACGAATCGCGTAATTACGTATGCGGGTTTACTTGAGCGAAACGTTTGATAGGTTGATAACAAAGGGAAGCGGAGTCGCGCAATCCCATGACACTTTGATACCGGAATTCGACGCGCGCTATCCGCTTGGCTCTCGATTATCTCGTACACTCTATCAAGTGTACCATGTGATAATATTACCCATTCGGATTAAAAAAAGTGAGAAAAATATCGTAAATAATAAAAAGAAATTAAATGAAACTGCCAATTCAATTATCAATGAACAGTAGCAGCTATCCTACTAAATAAAAGAGTATAAAACTGAGCATTGACAGTTAATATATTTTCTTTGTATTTCAATATTAGTTACGTAATTATGAGAACGTACTAAATTTTATTATGAGAATAAATTGAATTAAATGAAAGAGTTATCATATTTGCATTTATTATTAAAAAATAAATAAAATTTTCTAATCTAATATGTTTAGAAAAATTATCAGAAAACAGAGTACTTCTATTATCTCTCCTGTTTGACTTCTGGTTTTAGTGATAAAATGAAGCTATTAAAGCGAGCAGTGAAATAGCCAATATGGATAAAAGCCGTAAAACTGCGTTATTACTAATCAATTAATAAAGATAATAATTTCAGGATTTCAAAAAATTGTATCGGGCTCAAAATTTTCGGTGGCAACAGTTTAATCCACATTAATGTCCACGAGATGTTACTCCTCGACGGTTAATATAATTTATAATGTGCAGGACACCCAGTTTCTATCTCCTTCTATTTCTCCCGCAGTTCGTGATATTTATTGCTTCGTAAACGGCCGCAACTGCTGGCCGTTTGTGCTTGATTATAGGCGACAATATTATCCAACCTGGGCGGGATGAGAAGTTTCGATTGTCATTGGACGTTCCACTTTTGTTCTCCGTTTTCCTGGAGAAAACGGTAGATAACCATGTGAGCGTCCGCTAACTTTTTTGACATGCGCGATTATTCGATATTCACGTGGGAACACGATGCTATACTGTTTTTAAAGGAATAATTATAGGAAAAAGAATGTAATGTCTGCGATACGTGTTTCTACTGTGAACTGATAACGTTGATTGGCAGAAAGAACATCAAGCTAATCCTTTTATTGTACGTGTTGTGTGATTATTGAGTATCTAAAAATACAGAGATCGCTTTTAAAAGAAAGACTGTAGAAAAATGAGACTGCAAATATTCATGCTAGATAAATCTTTTATAATGTAAATTAAAAAAATCAAATTAAAATTGAGATTTCTTTTATCCTTCAGAATTAATTGCGTATTTATGATGAACATATCTGCACAATACATACATGTATTTTTTACATTATTACTATAAATGCGTACAATCTGCAGTTTAACAGTTGCTTCAAACAATTGATAATTTGATGAAACGCTTTTTAATAATAAAACACGATACGTTCTATGAAAAATCATAGTAGACTGACTTTATACCATTGTGTGATTTTTAATTTACCAATTATTATATTGACATCAGTCAGCAAAAATAATTTCAGGTTAATTCTCGATTACTCGCAGATCGAGCCACTAGAGAATTTAATATAAAGATGTCTCGTAGACGGGTTTAGGCAGGAAATGTTCTTTGATAGAGATTGCGGCGGCGAATCGAAACCAGACCGATCATTTATTTACGAATATTCCGCTGGGCCTCGAGTCTGACAATGAATGTATGCGGGTGCACGTTAACGCGCCTCTCTGTATGTATTGGATGCTTTAACATTAGCCGATGTTCCATTCATGCCTCAAAGAGGCTTTCCAATTCATCGGCACTCGCTGCTCTCTGCCTTTGTCCCTTTTGTCTTGGCTTCACGGGCAACGGTCCTTGCGCTTTAGATTAGGAAGCAAAAGAAAATGTTTCTAGTCTCGCACAAATTACTTTCCCAGAATAATGACTTTTTCTCGCAACCTATGATGTACATATGTATGTACAATGACTCGAAAGTATTA